CACACACACACACACACACACACACACACACACACACACACACACACGCACACACACACCTAGGTCCTGGAGAGCAGGTTTAATCTGGTTCTCATAGTGGTCCTCCTGGACTTCTTGAAGACACAGGATCTAGAAAAGGACATTTTCCATCAAATCTTGAATCTTAAAAAGTTTACATGTCAGAGTATATATTTTACGGTATGTGGTCAAAAGTATGCGGACGCTCCTGTCCACACAGTTCTGTGTATTTTGGGTCTGGGGATGTTTTTCATGGTTTGGGTTTGACCCTCTATCCTAAAGAAGACAAATGTTAATGCCATGATATAGAATGATATTAAGTGTACTATGTGCTTCCATCTTTGTTTCAACATGTCAATGCACTCGTGCACAAAGCCACCTCCATAAAGAAATGTTTCTCTCAGTTTGGTGTGTAAGATCTTGAGCGGCCTGAGCAGACCTCGACTTCAGCCGTGATTAAACAATATTCACGTGTCCACAAACTTTTGACCACATATCCTGCTGAATCCTGTATTCTACATAGAACAGCCATCTCATTAAAGTGTTCTAGTGATCCGACCGGCTCACATCAGCGTTGTGCTGCTGGATCTCAGCCAGCAGGCTGGGCAGCCGGTGGTCCCAGGGCAGCACGCCGGGGTGGCAGTGTCGGTACAGGTAGACGTTGTCCTGCAGCAGCTCCTGAGACAGGATGTTGTAGGACATCACCGAGAAGTCAAACGCCGTGCTGTCCCCCGGTGGTCGGGTGTCGTTACTGCGGGCGGGTGAGGCCTCCCAGTGTCTCTGAAGAGCTGAGGAGAGGAGAGGAGAGGAGAGAAGACGAGAGGAGGAGAGAAGAGAAGAGAGGAGAGGAGAGGAGAGGAGGGGACGAGACGAGACGAAGATGGAGAACGGAAAGAAACGTTAGTAAAATTTACCTCAGACTGACAAAAGGCAGGAGGCTTCATGGCAAAACTAAAATTATTCAAATTAGACTTGTGAATAACCTTGTTTGTTGTGGTCTACTGAACATTTTAACACTCATAAAGGTTAACATGTAGGAAAATAACTGTGTAACTTCTGACGAACCGCCCGGTACAGAACAGTACAAGTGAATGAGTTAAATAAAGCAAAACCTCTGACACTCACATTTCTCGTCTTCCTGTCGTCGGACCGTCGGACAGGTTCCAGGTGGAGGAAGCTGCCCGTTGGCTCCGACTACCTGCCACGGGTTTGGGGGATGCGTAGTGCTGCGAGGCTGAGAGAGAAGCCCCGCCCACCGTCCTCCATCACTACTTCTGTCCCTTAACTGACCCTCGGGTCCTTTTGTAGTCCTCTCACACCCTCCGTGCTGCTCTGCACCCCTCTCTGTGAACCAGGGGTTGGCTCGCTGATCGGGAACTTTATCCCGTTCAGGTTTGGACTTTGGGGTCTGAGTCCTGGAGTCTTTATGCGCTTCTGGCTGATGTTCACCTCTCCCTCGGTTTGGGGTTTTATCTCTACCCGCTCTGTCTTTATTCCAAGCTTTAGTCCTTTCTACATCTTCGTCTCTGCCGTTTTCCCAGCTCTTCCCTCGGTCTCGACTTCCATCTTTGAAGCGGTGGTTTGCTCGAGGAGATTCCAGGTGATGGTGCTCCCTCTTGGAGCCTCCATCCTTGGCCTGGCCTCCACTCGCCCCTGCTGCTCCTCCTCTATGATCCCTTTCTTCAGCGCTCCTCCTCCGTTTGTGAGGAGGCTCTCTGTCTCTGTGGGAGCTCTCCATCATGAAGCCTGCCGAGGAGGAGAACGAACGCCAACTACCGCCGAAGTGACCCGGGTCGATGCTCCGAGGGTGTAACGTCCTACCAGAGAAGACCTGATGGGGTGCTGGGTGGAGAGGAGGCCGGGGGGGGAATCCCCGCATGGACCACCATGGGGGAGGAGTGGGGATGAAATGGGGGAGGTGGGAAGAGGAGGCACCGCTGCTCCTGAAGCCAGTCCTGCAGAGAGCGGGACGGCCGCGGGGAAGGAAGGAGGAGCTGAAGGAGCTCAGCGGACGAAGGAACATGGGGTGGCTGAAAGGAGGAGAAGGAACTTTTTGAAAGATTAATTTTTTAATCACATTTAAAAACCACAAAGATTAAGATTCTTCGATTAGTCACAGTAAATAATACATATAGTAAATATAAAAACAGACAATGGAAACAGAAGTTATAAACTAAAGATAGAAGAGATAAGACAGAAGATACTGACAATGGAAAGAAGATTATTTGATTTATTATTCATTTAATTCACGTTCATGTTTGGTGTTAATGTCATTATTGTTTAGCTCTGACTAGCTAGCTCACGTTAACTTACTTCTCTCCGGGGCTGGAAGAGACATCGTTTATGTTTTGGCTCGGAAACATCTACAAAAATGATTATCTGCCAACATTATCGATGTTTTTAAGTCTCTAATATCTGTTTTCAATCGAATTCAAAACAATCCGCAGCACTTTCTGAGTCCCCAGCATTACACGTCACCGTCAATGCGCCCCGGAACCTGTGCTGCCTTCGCGTACACCAAATGAGCTCGGGTTTTTTAAGAAAAAATAGTGAAATAGTGCTTTTCGTGCGATTGACGGGAGGAGTAACGCCTCACCTGAAGTAGGTTTTATATTATTCGTATTTAACAGGCTGCACAGATGGAACACTTTCTGAAACTTGGACAAAATGAAAGACGAAGAAGAAGGAAAAACGACAGTTGCAGTTAGAATGTAATCGTTAAGAATCGCTAAATAAATACAATGCCAATATTTGTTTAATCCTCCACTGGACTGCCTGCTAGTGATTTAAAAAAGACAAGCAGCAAAATACTCGATTATATAGTTTTGTATTATGAAGAAACGTCTTCATTTACGAAATTACCACTGTACGTAATGTTAATGGAAGTAATTCCGATATTTCCAAGAGCATTTAAAAGCAGCATCCATTTTCTTCCTCTCGCTGGAACTTGTAGTCTTTGTCGTCTCGGTTTCTGAACTCGAATCACACGGTGTGGACAGTGAACGGACTACAACCACCTCGGTCCGGTGGAAATAGTGGCCCGACTGGAAACGTAGCTGACGACTACATCAGTGTTTTATCGACAGAATCCTGAAATGCCACGCTTTCTTACGCAGCAATCACCGGTCGTTACGGCATAAATCCGCAAAATTGGTAATTCGACTAAACACGAATATTACTACGTTTTTTCCCCTTTCTTCTATTTGAAGAGCAGCTGTCAGAAAAATATAAGTGTCGCGAAATGGAAAAGGTCATTGTCTACTTACGTAAAAGCGAACCTCTTCCTGAAGACAACGGTCTCGTTACTAACGGTTTAAAAAGATAAAATGGCAGCTGCTGACGTGCGACCATGTTCTGTTATTCCATGTCGTTAACACGCGATATAAAGGATTAATTGAGATTGATAAAGAGCAATGGTCGATGAGGAAGAAGAGTCAGCACACACATCCTCCCTCTCCCTCTCCCTCTCTCTCTGTGTGTGTGTGTGTGTGTGTGTGAGTGAGTGTGTGTGTGGAGTCAACCCTTCTCTCCAGTTCATTATGCTTTAATTTGCATAAAACACGAGATCCCCACTCCCCTTATTTCTCTCTTTAGGCTCATTTTATGATGTAAAGCTCTTTGCATTGCTGAACCACTGAGCTCTTATTATTCTGATGTAAATATTAACACCCCCCATAAAAGATCAACATAAAGGGGGTGCAAGTTAGTTCCCGAGAGCACACCTTGCACTCCCTTTAGCCTCCTCTTTATGGGCAGAAGGATGTCTTCACCTTTATCAGACAGACAGAACAGCACTTCTTTAAATGTAATTATTATTTTCCCATCATAAGGATCATATACCCAGAGTTGTATTCACCTCTCCCCCCCCTCCCTGCAGGAGCCTGTATAGCGGTTCAGGGTCGGAGCAGTAGTATTAAGAAATATTGGCTGTAATTGTGCCAAGATTAGTAATTTTACTGTTATTGATATTTCTTTTGTGGTACTTGAAATAGTAGTAAATAAAAACATGTCAATAACAAAACAAGCAGCCATTATAAAACCTTTATTCAGGAGCCAAACAGGATATCAAAATGATGCAGTGGATGATTTCAAACACAGGAAAGTTGGGACACAATTTGTAGAGAATCTGTCTCCAAAATGAAAGAGAAATGCATCATTTGTAAAACTGTCCCCAACATTTGTCGGTCTGTAGTTAACTTGTGTTTCGGTTTGAGGGTCACAGGTTTGATCTCCACTGCAGCTGCAGTTTGTCCGTCAGCAACGAGCCCCGTGTCCCGTCAGTGTGCTCGGAAATAAGTCAGGTATGCGACCAAAAGCAAAGCATCAAGAGTGGACACCTTTCAGCAGAATAGTTCAGTAAATCCTCCAAACGTGCACAAGAAAAAAATGAATGATTCCAACAAGCGTCGTGAGGGCTTTTAGGGCGACTGAGGAAAGATTTTTTTCCCAGTTTGATAAAGTTACAGTGTGGAAAAAAAACAACTAAAACTTCCTACATGACCAGCAGAAGCTGCGTCCTCGAGGAAACAGAAAAAACACCTAAATCTGCTGGTTGACATATGAGATGTGCTGCAGACAGACTCTCTGTGTTCACCTGAAGCCCTTTGCTCTCGGGGGTTATCATCATTTTATTTCCTGTGTCAGATTGTCTCCAGTGTCTTCTCAGAAAGGGTCTGCTTTTTACGGTCACATAACGTGTTTTCGTCCACTTTGCATGCTTCACAGTATTAGGAGGTTGTTTTCAGGTCACAGATGAGAAAACTATTTGATTCTAAGAGCGATGTAGAAACTATCTCAAACAGTAATGAGAGAGGACTCCTTCCAGACTTACCAGCGTTGCATCTTTTACTCTCTTTTGGTACAAAGCAATCTGTCGCACTAAGTTACTTTATTTACTTTAATCATATTTCTGCTCGGTGAGACCGGTTAGTCTGGTCAGCTGGGTTGTGTGCTGTAATAATAAACGAGAGGATTAACTTTCACTTCCTGGTCTGATCCCAAGAAGAATTTGGATTTATCATTTCACAATCCTGTCTGGATGCTGCAGTAAAGACAAGCTGTGCTTGGTTTTAATTCCAAGATTCTTAATCATTTTCTGTCCGACTGGACTCTTAGACGGGTCGGGGTTTTAAGGTGCACTTGGTTTGACTCTTCAAACTTCTCTACAGCCTCCAAACACATTCTCTGCCGTGTCTCCTCCTTTAATAATGTTTCGATCCTGCAGGGATCTTCCATATAAATCTGGATTTTAGACGTCATTTCCTCTCATGTTAAACAGTGAAGAGGCGTAAAAAAAAAAGCCTTCATGAACCTTCCACTCGGCGCCTCGACGTGCTCGTGCGTCTCCTCTCGGTCAGAGCAGCAGCCGTCTCTGCAGCAGGTCTGTGAGGCTGTGAGCGGGTGACGTCGTGGGGGGGGTCGAGGGTCAGGAGAAGGGGACCTCCCATCTCTGTGTGTACGCGCTCAGTTCACAGGGGCTGATGACCAGCATTCGGGAGGAGTCCATCCCGTCCAGAGCCATCTCCGAGTCCAGGCAGAACCGAGAGACCAGGTGCTCCAGGTGAGTGCCCGACTTCTGCCACCGCTGCAGGAAAAAACAAAGAACAAAGAACAGCGTCACACTTTGTCTCTCCGTCGAGACAAAAGCTGCAAAAACAATCAAAGATAAGACAAGACAAGATACGTTTCAGGTGTTTTTTTGTGTTTGCTGTCGGTCAGACTCATAGACAAGCGTCTGGAATGATTCATGTAAAAAACAGGTTTGTTTGGGAAAGATAAACGTTGTTCGTCTCCATGAATCTCTGCAACGGAGGCGGAGAGAGCGAAGTCAACATGACCAACAGAGACACGACAGCAAGATCGTGAGTAATAAATCAGGTTGAAATAAACCAGAGATCCTTAAAGTAACAAAGAAGAAAAAAGATCTGTGAGCAGCTGAGAGAAGCTTCAGCAACAGAGATGAGAAGAAACAACAGTTATCACAGGAACGACCTCTTTTAGTATAACAGGTGTATTATAGAGAACGTGGCCCATCTGTCTGCTGTCAATTGAGTTGACTAGAGTTGAGTTCAACACGTTAACACTGTTTAATAAGTAACTGGTGATTCCTATCAGCCACCACTAGATGGAGGCCTCTCCTGACTTTATGCTCTGACCAAACACACTTCTGCACACTTTCTCGTGTGTTTGGTTGTGTGTGTGTGTGTGTGTGTGTGTGTGTGTGTGTGTGTGTGTGTGTGTGTGTGTATTATTCATAGCTGGATTCTTTATCTAGAAAAACAAAGCGGCAGATAGGATTAGACATGACAAGAGGCTTTCATCCAGCTGGTGGCTGTGAAACCAAGTGATGAGAGAGAGAGAGAGAGAGAGAGAGAGAGAGAGAGAGAGAGAGAGAGAGAGACAGACAGAGAGAGAGA